TGAGATACCCAGGACGAACCTCATCCGCCCCCGGGGCTCCGCCGCTGTGTAGTTGTTTGACTACCTCAGCAACTTCTGCCCTCGAGATCGGACAGTCCATCCCCAGGCCTCCCAGCTCTGGTTCCTCCTCGGAATGCGCATTGGTGGGATTGAGGAGCTCCTCAAAGTATTCCTTCCACCGTCCGACTATAGCCTCAGTTGACGTCAGCAGCTCCCCATCCCCACTGTAAACAGTGTGAGCGAGTTGCTGCCTTCCTCTCCTGAGGCGCCGGACAGTTTGCCAGAACCTCTTTGGAGCCGATCGATAGTCTTTCTCCATGGCCTCACCAAACTCCTCCCACGCCCGAGATTTTGCCTCGGCAACTGCCACTGCTGCACCCCGCTTGGCTATCCGGTACCTGTCTGCTGCCTCCGGAGACCCACAGACCAGCCACGCCCTGTAGGCCTCCTTCTTCAGCCTGACGGCTCCCCGAACCTCTGGTGTCCACCAGCGGGTACGGGGGTTGCCACCACGACTGGCACCGGCCACCTTACGACCACAGCTAGCAACAGCCGCCTCGACAAACGCAGAGTGGAACAAGGCCCACTCGGACTCAATGTCCCCCACTGCTCTCGGGACGTGGTCAAAGCTCTGCCGGAGGTGGGAGTTGAAGACCGTCTTGACAGGTTCTTCTGCCAGGCGTTCCCAGCAGACCCTCACTATGCGTTTGGGTCTGCCAGGTCTACGCGGCATGTTCCCTTGCCATCTGATCCAACTCACCACCAGGTGGTGATCAGTTGACAGCTCCGCCCCTCTCTTCACTCGGGTGTCCAAAACATACCGTCGCAGGTCAGATGATACGACTACAAAATCTATCATCGACCTGTGACCTAGGCTGCCCTGGTACCAAGTGTACCGGTGGGCATCCTTATGTTCGAACATGGTGTTCGTTATGGCCAAACTGCGGCTTGCACAGAAGTCCAATAACAAAACACCGCTCGAGTTCTGATCAGGTGGGCCGTTCCTCCCAATCACACCCCTCCAGGTCAAGCTGTCATTGCCCACGTGAGCATTGAAGTCCCCCAGCAGGACAATGGAGTCCCCTGATGGAGCACTATCTAGCACTCGTCCCAGGGACTCCAAAAAGGGTGGGTACTCTGAACTGATATTTGGCCCATACGCACAAACAACAGTCAGGACCCGTTCCCCGACCCGAAGGCGCAAGGAAGCTACCCTCTTGTCCCCCGGGGTAAACCCCAACACACAGGCAGAGAGTCTCGGGGCTAACAAAAAGCCAACCCCAGCCCTCCGCCTCTCACCCGGAGCAACTCCAGCAAAGTAGAGTGTCCAACCCCTCTCCAGGTCTCGGGTTCCAGAGCCAATGCAATGTGTCGAGGTGAGTCCGACTATATCTAGCCGGTACCGCTCAACCTCTGCCACAAGCTCCGGCTCCTTCCCCGCCAGCGAGGTGACGTTCCATGTCCCAAAAACTAGTTTCCTTGTCCGGGGATTGGACCGCCAAGGCTCCCGCCTTGGTCTGCCACCCGATTCACATTGCACCGGACCCTTCATGTTCCTCCTGCGGGTGGTGGGTCCACAGTTGGACGAGCCCATGTATCCGGTTCGGGCTGGGCCCGGCCGGGCCCCATGGGCGAAAGCCCGGCCACCAGGCGCTCGCTCACGGGCCCCAACCCCAGGCCTGGCTCCAGGGTGGGACCCCGGTAACCCTCCGGGCCGGGTACTCCGACTCTTCGTTTTCACCGCCATGAAAGATCCTTCGTATCATATTGTTCCATAGTCATCTCAAGTTCAGTCATTATGGGATAATGGTCACTAGCAATAGTTGTTTCTTTAAGTACCTGCCACGAACAAAAACCTGCTGATGAATCTGACACTAATGTGAGGTCAACTGCTGATGCTGTACCAGCTCTAATATTTATTCTTGTACCACTTCCATCATTCAAACATACATATTTTTTTGTTTCCATCAGTTCCTCAATAACTGCCCCATTCCTATCATTGCTATTGCCCCATAAGGAACTGTGTGCATTGAAGTCCCCACACCAAATTACTTTTCCCTCTAAATGTGTATCTAGTTCATCTAAATTTAATAATCTGTTGCCTGGATTATAAAAATTGATTACTTTAATAGTACAATTTCTTGACCAGATTTCAATTACTACGTATTCTAACTGTGATCCTATATTTACAGTTCTATACTGAGTTCCTCGTTTCACAAATGTCATACATCCTTCTCCATTACCTTCCTTTCTGTCTCTACAGATACCATCATAACTTGTAACAACAAAATCTAAATTAGGTTTTAGCCATGTCTCCTGAATACATACTATTTCTGGTTTTATTTTGCATTTATTGATAAATCCCTTAAATTCCTGTCCACTTGCAATCAAACTTCTGGCATTCCATTGTAATATAATCATGCTGTCCTGTCACCAGGACCACCTGCTTTCCCTTCCTCCCCAAGTCTTTTATTGATATGTTCCCATGAAATGTCTTTAATGCCAAAAAATCTCTCTGCTCCTTTCACAATTATTTTTATTTTCTCTGTTCTGTGTTTCTCTTGATCTGTACAGTTTATGACATACGCCATAAACAAAATCCTCTTCTCCACTGTCAATCCTGTGTGAGTTTCTTGTGTATGCACAAAATCTGATGGCAACTTTGTTTGAACTTTTCTTGCCTCATCCTTTCCATTCTGTGCCCTTTTTAGAGCCTCTGCGTAGCTGATGTTATGAACCACTTTTATTTGTTCAACCTGCACTGCCTTCTTTCTGACTTCACAGCCCCCCATAACTCACCCTGTGCAGCCACCCACAGTTGCAGCATTTGTCTTGTACATGTTCTCCACATTCCTCATATCTATGTTCACCTCCACGCTCAGGGCACCTCTGTTTCCCTTTGCAAACTGCTGCAATATGTCCATACCTCTGGCATTTATAACATCTGAGGGGTGGAGGGATATAAGCTCTGACAGGGAAGCTCATGCACCCTATTCTAACTCTCTCCGGAAGGACATCCTCCTGAAACTCAAAGTATGGATAAACTTTCAACCTTCCCTCCATCTATTGTTCTTAACAGTCTTTTCACCCTGCTCACTTCACCACCACGAATACTCAGCTTAAGTTTTTCCAGATCTTCCTCCACTGGTATTCCAGTAATCACCCCCCGTGTCCGTCGTCTAATTTTCTGCTTCTGAGGAAACTTAGACAGCGCCCAATATCTTCTCAGCGCGTGTTTACCGCCACCCTCCGGAAGGAAGAAAGAAGAAGAAAATATCTCAAGATAAAAATCACGAGGCGCTTAGGCCGCGAAGCGGAACTTCTTCATGGCTGCACACAACTAAACTTGGTTGAGGACCAAAAATTCGGAACAGTTGGAGGCCAGTGAATTCACTACATCCAACATATAAAATTAGCTGTTCTTGAATAAAGAAAATTCATGTCTTGGTGGATTTTATTCTATTTCATGTCAGCAATAATCATTCTGAACCAGTGTCGCCACCAAAAACAAAGGTCACGTGTTTTCTTGAACCACTTTTAGCAGTGATTATGGCATGCATTTGCTGTGGCATTGTTTCTATAACCTTCTGCAATATAACAAGATTTATTTCCATCCAGCGCTGCATTAATTTCTCACCAATCTTTCATTGGTAGAGTCTGACCGCTGCACAAAGCTGTCTCCAGTACATCCCAAATGTTTAGACTCTGTAGTGGCCAATCCATTTGTGAAATTGATGTCTCATGCTCCCTGAACCGGTCTTTCACAGTTTGAGCCCAATGAATCCTCGTATTGTCATCTTGGAATATGCCCGTGCCACCAGGGAAGATATAATAACCTGGTCATTCAGTATATTCAGGTTGTCAGTTGACCTCATTCTTAGAGCACATCCTGTTGCTGAGACCTGACTAACTGCAGCAACCGCATACCATAGCACTGCCCCATACATATATATGTCGATGATCTGGACTCATCAGACCACATGACCTTCTTCCATTGCTCCAAAGTCCATTCTTTATGCTCTCTAGCAAACTGAAGCCTTTTTTTCATGGTTTGTCTCACTGATTAGTGTTCTTTTATGGCTACATAGCTGTTCGGTCAATTCAATTCAAATTCAAATTCAAAAATGCTTTATTAATCCCAGAGGGAAATTGATTGTCCCAATCCATTGAGTTCCCTTTGTACTGTGCGTGTGGAAACGCTCTTACTTTCACTATTAAACATATCCCTGAGTTCTACTGTTGTTTTTCTTCTATCTGATTTCACCAAATGTTTAAGTGATCGCCAATCTCGATCATTCAGGATTTTTTTTCTTTGGTATAATAATAATCATTATATTATTTCTTCCTTGAAAGTGATGGGTCCCCACTATTCTTCCTATTTTTTATTAGTGTGTTGGACAGTTCCTAATTTTAGTGTTTCTGCAATCTCCTTAGACGTTTTCTCTGCTGTGCCAATTCATCATTAATGATCTGACCCTTCTCAAACAGATAAACATCTTTTCACGACCACCAGATATTTCTCTCGACATGGTTGTTTAAGAAATGAAAAGCAATTCATTGCAGCAAATAGTCATGACACACTTTTGTGCTGCAATTTGACCCGTCCCCTGGGGGAGCGGTAAACTGTAGAGCTGCACTTGGGAACTATTTGGTGGTGTACCCTCCAATCAAATCTCTTATGCTGAGTGTCAGTGGAAGAGCACTGGGTCCCATTTTTAAAGTCTTCGGTATGACTAGACAGTGGATTTGAACCCATCTCCCAGTCTCAGGGAAAACACTCACACCACTTGGCCACTCAGCTGGTTGGGATTTAACTTGTTGCCAGCTGAAAGCTAATGACCCATGCATGTAATTATCCAATAGGAGGCTCTTCCCATTTCCTTAGTTACATCCAGGTGGGATTTATTTTTTGCTGGACATTGTATGGCTTCTAAAAAAAAAAAAAGTCGCTGTTTACCTGCTACCCCTCTCTTCCACCAGTAGGTGGCGAAAAACACACTCGATGGCCTGGTTTTCTGCCGATATTTGATCACAGAAGAAAAAGCTCGACCAAACATGAGTAGTACTTACGAGGATTTCGTCCTGTAAGTATTAAAATAAAACTTTTAGGCATCTTTAGAGTTTTAATTGGTATTTAAGACGACCCGGATGTGTTTGAAATTGCTAGCTTTATTTTTATAGCACAGATAATTGTACATTTTATTTGAGTAATTGTTTTTCATTGGGAATGGCATTAAGGTAAACAGCGACCCGTTAAACAGTGTAAACCGGCTTTGACTGTGTGAGGTTACATTGACTGGTTGTGGGTTTAACCCGCTGTTTCCCGTTGCAGACACGTCACACCGGAGAAGTTCCACATAGAGGCGTGTGATGCTGAAGACGGTTCCGTTAGTGTTCTGGTTATTGACCGGGTGTCAGCAGAGATGACCCTCGCCGGTAAGGACGTGGCAGCAGTCACGTGGTGCTAAATGCAGCCTTCAGTGTGACTGGAGTGCAGATATTTATTCTAACCCTTAAACTTTAGTGGAGTGGGCTCTAAAGTTTAATGAGCTGGGCATGGGTACCCCATGCATCCATGCTGCTTTTGTTGTTGTTTACGTTTGATCTCGGAGCTTTCACCTCCTCCAATGCAACCATGACCGTTGAGACTGAGGATAGATGTCGGATAAGGATCTGATTTAGGATCACATATAAAAAAAAGACTGTGACCTGATTTTATGAACGCTGGTTTGTTCTGTTCACACTATCAGAAACACCAGGTGTGGGGCATGCATGGACAAAGTTGGAATTAGGTTTCTAAATCTGACTTTCGTTCTTCAAAATTCAAAAGTCATCCCTCCTAATGAATGCATCTCACATGCTGAAGATTACACATGACCTGTGTACCTTCCTACTGGTACATATGTATCTCAAGTGTTTATACTTCAAAAGTAAGTGAGTAATTGGAGCTCATATTAACCTTTGGTATGTTTTCTGGAAAGCATCAGCATTGGTCCACATTAGCAGACTGAAACAGCATCTGGAGATCTAAAAGTAAAAGAAGAAAACAATTCAATTCAATTCAAAGATACTTTATTAATCCCAAAGGGAAATTAGAGTTTCAGTACACACAATTCAGAGATCAGACATACATGGGCAAGACACATGGCAAGAATTGGTGACTGTGGTCATTCGCAATCCTGAGTCGCGCTACCTTAATAGAGATCAGAGGGTTACATGAGGATTGGTTCAGGTGGAGGGAAAAAAAGGCACTTCAGAGTTAAGCCTGGTTCATGCTTCTCCTTCAGCTCCGCAAGGGACAGACACGCACGGATTGACGGAAGCGTTTTGCTCTCATACTTCTCCGTCTCCTGGAGAGTGTTGCAAAGCAATTGCCCGGCAGGACAACAGAGGGCGTAGCGCGGTTCTGTGGTATCCTGTCATGTATCGGTCCAAGATAGTGTGTTTATATTGTGTTTTTGTGTATATAAGAGACTTTTTTACACAGACAAATTTGACTCTCATCCTCCTCCACCTCTTCATGCACTCACCACCTCTAAACCCACATTTCCTGTCATTTCCGTCCACAAATAAAAAGCTTGCTGCGCATCTTTTCACTCCTCCAGTCACGGGAGAATTAAACATTCATGTTTTTAGAGTTTTTTCGCAAGGTATTCTTCAAGCTTGTCCGTGTCTGCTGCTTGTTATCCTCGGCGGTGTGGACAACAGCGGCATCCTAACCAATCACAAGCTTGCGTTGTCCATCTCGACTGACGGATGTTTAGAAAAGAGAGTTCGACTCCGTCCGTCCTTGCGGAGCTCTCCGGCAGGCCCGCAAGGACGTTGCATGTCTCTGCGCTGACGCAGACGGAGAATCATGAATCAGCCTTTACCCTCCACCGGGAGGGCAGCTTTGCTCTGCAAATCAATTAATTAATCAATTTCCCTCTGGGATTAATAAAGTATTTTTGAATTTGAATTTGAAAAACAACACCTCAGACAGATATGCAACAGACATCAGACATCACACAACATAAGTGTCCCAGTGTTTCCCCTAGGAATTTAATTTAATATTCAAGTTTTCAATTCAAGTTTATTTATATAGCGCCAAATCACGACAAGAGTCGTCTCAAGGCACTTCACATAATAAACATTCCATTTCACAGTTCATTAAGCCAATCAGAAATAATGTTTCCTATATAAGGAACCCAGCAAATTGCATCAAGTCACTGACTAGTGTCAGTGACTATACAGCAATCCTCATACTAAGCAAGCATGCAGCGACAGTGGAGAGGAAAACTCCCTTTTAACAGAAAGAAACCTCCAGAGAATCCTGGCTCAGTATAAGCAGCCATCCTCCACGACTCACTGGGGATCGAGAAGACAGAGCAGGCGCGCGCGCACACACACACACACACACACACACACACACACACACACACACACACACACACAAGTAATGTGTCTATAGTTATATTGTGATGTCTTAGTAAATATTGTATTTGGTGAAAGATAAACTTTATTGTATTTATCCTAGTGGATCTATAATTAAACCGATAAACTAGTATTAGCACATCAAAAGTCAATGAAAACAAAAAGTTATTATCAGGAGAGAGAGAATGTATTAGTGGTTAGCAGCAGTGTGCTAGTCGATGGCCTCCTCCATGAGGCCACCACAGCTCAGCAGAACATCGTTGTAGCTTCTTCTGGGGAGAAAAACACTTACAGAGAAAATAAAGTTAACAGCTGAAATTGCACAAAATAGTACAGTTAAAGAGCAGACTGTAGAATAAAGCAGTAGAGTGTGAAAAGTGGTCAGTGTGTCCTCCAGCAGTCTAAGCCTATAGCAGCATAACTACAGAGATAACTCTGGATAATCTATCCTATTTAGATGTAGGCATGTTGGAGGCAGGGTAAGGGAGAGCCGTCTTTACCGACTGTACACTCCACCTCCCTGTACTCCCCCACTTGTCCAGATTTAGGCTAACATCAGATTTTAACCATAGGCCCTATCAAATAAAAATGTTTTAAGCCTATTCTTAAAAGTAGACAAAGTGTCTGCCTCACGGACTAAAGCTGGGAGCTGGTTCCACAGGAGAGGAGCCTGATCAAATCAACTCAAATCAAATCAACTTTATTTATATAACACTTTTCATACAAAAAAAAATGCAACTCAAAGTGCTTTACAGATTAAAATGGCCCCATAGATCCCACATTCCCATCCCAGCCCCCCTCCCCAACTATCTGATAACTAAAAGATCTGCCTCCCATCCTAAGTTTAGATATTCTTGGAACCACCAGTAGACCTGCAGTCTGAGAGCGAAGTGCTCGGTTACGAACATATGGAACAATCAGATTACTGATGTATGATGGACCTTGATTATTAAGAGCTTTATATGTGAGAAGAAGGATCTTAAAATCTATTCTGAATTTAACAGGTAGCCAATGTAGGGAAGCTAAGACAGGAGAGATATGATCTCTCTTTTTAATTCTCATCAGAACTCTAGCTGCAGCATTTTGGACAAGCTGAAGACTTTTAACTGCATTCTGTGGACTTCCTGAGAGTAATGAATTACAGCAATCCAGTCTTGATGTAATAAATGCATGAACTAGTTTTTCAGCATCACTCCTGGAAAGGATGCTTCTAATCTTAGCAATATTCCGAAGGTGGAAAAAGGAAATCCGACAAACTTGTGAAACCTGGGATTTGAATTTAATATTGGTTTATCTGATGCACTCCACTTTGAACTGCACCAATCCAGCAACTGCTGCATTTTAAAAACTAGTATTTAAGGTGAATAAACCAATATTTGCACAAAAATAATTTTTGTTTTAAACTCTCAGTGACACACTTTGCAGGGTGGATTTGGCATTTAATTTTTCTTGGCGTCTGGAAAAACATCTCCTTCTGCCCCCTTTATTTTGGTCCAAGCTCATTACTGGGCTGGCCCTATTAAAAACATTCTACACCCCTGCTTAGCAGACTTAATGAAGTATATTTAAGCCAGTATAAAATGACTGAAACACAAATTTACATATTTGGCATTATTGACCAATATCTTTGATTTAATTTATTTGTTAAGAACATCAAGATGCATTACAGTGAACATTATGATAAAGTAAATGTTTCTAGTGCAGAGAGGAGACAACTCATAGAAGCACTGATTTGATCTCATTTCAGAGAAAAATAGAACAGGTCAGATGCACCTAATAAATAAAATTACTAACATAAACTCAGGAATCTGTTTCTTTGCTTCATTGTTCTGGTGCTGAAAATATCACTAATGCAGATCAAAGGAGATACACAGATGAATGCACCTTATTTATTATTTGGAAAGTAGTGGGTGTGGTTTACATCAATACATTATTTTAAATCTGAAATTGATATGGATTGATCAGAAGTTGCTATGTTTATTGTTTATTTGAAAACTATTTACAGAGCAGACTCAGAATTGAGATTAAATATTTCTGATCACAATAGTAAAGAAACTGTTACAGAACAAGTTTCTGTAAAATCAGAACATTAATATTTATTTAGAATTAATGCATCTGAACTCATGCAGTAGGAACTAGGAAATATGAAATACTAGAACCATTTTATTTTAATTTGATTAAACTGATTTTTTCCTAATGTTGTTGGCATTTTTCCCACACACAGTTAAACAAACTGTTGATTGAGGTGTGTGTGTGTGAAAGAGAGAGGGAGAGAGAGTTAAAATAATATTTAAAAAAAACAGACCAGAGAGGAGGCAGTGACCGACGCATGCACGAGCCGTTTTCAGCTCTGTCTTGTCAAATGCACCACGTACGTTACGAAAAAAGTAACTTTTAAATATTCAACCGAAAAAGAGGTGAGCTGAAGAAAACGTAGGGAGCACTGAAGAAATGTGAGCAACAGTGAAGCAAGCACAGAGAGATCCGTTTGTGTGTGTGTGTGTGTGTGCGTGTGTGTGTGTGTGTGTGTGTGTGCGCGTGTGTGTGTGTGTGTGTGTGTGTGTGTGTGTGTGTGTGTGTGTGTGTGTGTGTGTGTGTGTGTGTGTGCGTGTGTGCGTGCGTGTGTGCGTGCGTGTGCGTGGATGGGCCGGACAGACTGAGCTCCCGGCTGCAGTTTTGTATGTCGGGAAGGGCGGGCGCTCTATGTGACTTGCCAATCACAGAGCTTGAAGACAGTCAGTTACCCAATGAGGATTGTCCTTCAGCACGATTACAGATATTTTCAAGTTTTACTCGTTTCATGCTCGTATTCGTCAAAAATGTTTTATCCGTACCGGATACTAGTCTGAAATGAGTATCCGGCTCATCCCTAGCTGTAACCACCCTGCCCTGCCTCCTCCTCCTTGCTGCCTGCCGGTTGTGATCACAAGCAACAACAGAGTAGTTCCCGCTGCTTCTTCGGGAAATGGCACCCAAAAAAAAAATCAATAAAACTTGGGATCTTGTAGGCGTGGCTCCGGGATTTCAGCCGTGGCGGGCCGCCACGGCTACGCCTATGTAAGGGAAACACTGGTGTCCACTAGGTGGGGTGGTGGGTTTGGGACTATCCACAATTCGGTTCCTGCAGCCACTACAAGCAGCGCATGTCACCTCAGTCTGAACAGGGGGAGGAGCATTAAGGGTTGGAGGGTTGCAGTGACCCTGGAACGATTCGGCGGCCTTCCCGCAGTCCTGCCCAGGCTGGGAAAGGAGACGGAGTTGAGTTGCCATAGCGATGGCATATTCCACATATCTTCTGAGGGGGGAGTTTTCGTTGGAGCCTTGCAGGCTCAAGGGCACCAGATTCCGATTAGAAACTGTTTTGGGGCCTGACAGAGATAATTTCCTCTCTGTCTTCAAGTTCCTTGGTCCTCAACCTCTCAAAATCCCAATAATGGACATGAATCTATCCCAATCCGTGCTGATTCGTCCACTCTATCCTTGATGGCATCCATCTTTTGTGCCAATGAATGAATCTCGGCCAAATTCTCAAGCTTACGATTCATCTCAACAATTATGTGAGTCTGTGAATTCACAGCACGGTGCAAACCATCTCTGAGTTCCGGGAGCAGGCCAATATTCCTCGACAGCTTGTTAATTTTTCGGTAAGCCAGGTAGCCTCCAAGGCCAATGAGCAGGAACACGTCTTCAGAGTCCTCCAGACAGTGGAGATAAACAAATCAAGTTCCACTGTTTCCAGGAGTCCATGATGTGTCATGTGGGTCTGTCCCGGAGGGGCATCCGGGAGCCCCTTCTCCTGTTCTCATCGTTGAAAACATTTTATCAATCGCATTGAGTGACCAACTGACGAGGTCCATTTTAGTGATTTCAGTCTCCAATTTCCAGAAAAAATGCAGAAGCAGCCGTGCACCCAGCACACAGAGACAGACAAAGGCCTTGAGAATAAGATATGGTGGAGAGAAGAAAAGCGTCTGCACCCTCCGAGAGCCGGAAGAATAGCAGTCTATGATGATTTAACATTCACATGATGAGTACTGTCCTTCTAAATTGCTTGCAACAGAACGTTATTCCAGGGAAACATGATTTCAATCCAATTTATTTGTAGAGCAAATTTAAAAACAACATGTCAACTGATCAAAGTGCTGCACACGAAAACCTTAGAACTAAAAGCCCCTAAAACAACAGGCAAAAATACCTACAACTTAAGCTTCAAACATCAGACGTCCGACCAGAGACTAATTGAAAGCAAAGTGAAAGTTTAAGAAAAAATAATAAAAATGAAATAAACAGTTACAGGATTGAAACAAAGGATTCATGTGCATCTGCTTGCTACATCAGCCAGCTTCAAATGAGGAGCTTGTTGCTTGTCATAAATCTGTATGTGAAATAGTCTGAGGTTATAACTATATAGTCAATAAAACATTGTGGATTATTTTAAAATCAAGGAAATAAACCATCTCTAACTGGTACTGACCTGTTGTTGTCCTTAGGGAGGCGGGACCTTCCTGGGTCAGCTGAGACTCGACCAATATGTGGAATCATGGGAACCATACGTTTGCTGGCAGGTAAATTCATCATGTTTGAATCAACATTGTGGGGATAAAACCCAGAAATTCAGACTTTGCTTGCCCAGGTCATGTCCAAATTCCTGTTTATTCCAGGATTGTATTTGGTAGTCATCACAAAGAGGACAAAAGTGGGAGATTTGCTGGGCCATGCTGTTTGGAAAGCCTCTGAGTTTGACATAATCTCTTACAAGAAGACAATTCTGCACCTAAACGATGACCAGGTTGGTTTTCTTCTAATAACATTTTTGCTAAACAGCTAGTCATTCTGGTTAAAGGTTAGACTGAGTTGTTTGAGTCAGGCAGGAACTGGTAAGAGTTCATGACAGTCGGGGGTTAAAGGGAAGGAGCTAATCAGCGTCTCTTCTCTAGATGGCACAAAGTGGTTTTAACCTCTGTGTTATGCAGGATGCACAATTTGTTACAAACACAGTGATGCTTCAGAGTTTTACACAAGTCCAGATAGTAAAGGAAACAGGGATTTATTTGACCTCTTGTTAAAAATCAATAGTAAATGAGGGAATGATTATACATCTCAGTCCATTCATGCATCATATCTGACCCGCTGTAAATCTCACTGGAGTTTGGCATAGCGATGCTTTTTTTTAACCAGTTGAAAGAGGGTTTACTAGGACACATAGAGTCTACCAGTATGAACAGGGAAACTCCAGAGGCCAGAACAGCCGATTTTATTTTGCTCTATATAATCTGACTAGCTTCACCTTGACATGACATTAAGGGAGCTCCAGTCCTTGAGTCGCTGTGGAAACCACAGGAACAGAAAAAAAGTATTTAGCATTGTTGCAGCAGGACATTTATTTTAAACCTCATGGAGAATATGTGTGGTGCTCGGGGGGGAGGGGGGGGGTGTCAGCTGTCGTAGCACCACATCAGCTCATGGATGATGAGCCTCTGTTCGGATCAAGTTTGAAAGATATTCATCGATTCACATCAGCCTGTCCTAATCAGACTGTTGTTAAAACCCAAACCTCTAAGCGTAGTGAGCTGTTCAACATGGATTTGGTCGCATGTGTAAAAAATCAAACTTCTCTGTGGCACCAGCCATGAAGAGACCGAGATGCTATTACCTGAACCAAAGTCCGTTGATGTAACTTTAATCTGCACTTCCAGTTTTAGAATAAAGACAATTAAAGTGGTGGTTTTTGTTTAATACATGGAAACCAGTCTTTCTTCCTGACTGTTTCAACACAGAATGTGTTAAAGGACTGTTTTAATGCAACAGTCCTCTCACTTACCCTGCTGCAGGAGGAAGAAAGGATTTTTTATTTAGCGCCTCTCTAGATTAAAATTACAAGGTACTATGTAATCATTTAAATTATTTTCCTATGTTTTATAGCACCCGGCACTAGCCAATTAATCCATAAAGTTGTTCCTTTAGGGATTACTTTGAAACAAACATGTCTCCTTACTTACCCATGAGGACAAGACCTTACACTGCACCAGAACGACCACTTTAACATGGGGCCTCTATAATTCAAGCAGTTTGTTGAAAAAGACCCAAAAAAGGCATTAAAGCCGCTATAGCAAATTTGAAAATCAAATTAGCTTAAAACTGTTTTTTCTTACCTTGTAACAACGCTCTAGCATAGTGTAGCTATAAAAAATTATTTATTTATTAATGTATTAATATTAATATAAACTTTTTTCAAAGATTAAAAAAATACATAAAAAATATAAATTATCTTGCATTTGTCTAAAAACCTCTGCCAATAACACGTTTTGGAGCAAAACTAACTATTGGACTATCCAGTGGTTGGTCTCACCAAACCTCCACACTTCCCTGGGTCCTCCATTCATTACACATTCATTACAGCAGAACACCACTGATGTGAGAGGTTCTCCACTCAAAAATATCAGGGAAGGAGAAACAGCCGGCTGCTACCACTTCAGCTTTAGGACGAACCACCAGAGACCCCCCCCCCAAAAAAGCCCACCATTTGAAGTCAAAGACTATAAAAGATGTTTGGACATAGAAAAGGGTGACTGGTGTTTGATGCTCTTTCATTTTCTCCAGTATTGCGCGTTTCCGGTTTTGGCAGAACCATCTCAGGAGATACCTGAGGGGAGGGGTGAATGTTCCGTGTTTGTGCTCAAAAACTAGCTTGCTCCGTAGATTTGTTACAACAGCTTTAAAGGTGTGGTTTACTCATTTATTCAATACATTTGCTGTGTTCTTTAGTGTAGATCAATTATTTATAAGTTATTTAAAAAAAATTATGATGCTCCTGTTCTGAGATGCAGGAGTTTGCTGGTGCAGAGGTGGGCTGAGAACAGCAGGATTACTCATTACATATGCACACACCTAGCTTCTGATTGGCTAACAAATCGCGTTTAGCCACGTTGCAAAGTCACTATCACCAAGACATTCCACTTTCTCTCCTCGCTGCAAAAATAATTTTTAAAAAGCATTCCTATGGGCCGACGCGAGCCAAGATGGGCGAGGCCATTAATGCAAATTCACAGTGTGACATAGTTATGTGAGAATTTTCTAATCCTAGCATTTCACTGTCTATTTTCTATCAGAGGCTAATGAAGGAGATAGGTGTAGGAGATTATTTTCATGTTCAGCCTGCATGAAAAACTCAACATAACCGATTTTTATAATCAGAAATAATTAAAAAAAAACATGTTTTCAGTCATCCACATCTTTAAGGTCAGAAGAAGCCCAGCGAGCTCTGAGACATAAAGTAGAAAAACAACATGTCTGTGGAATTGTTTGTTGCAGATGCAAGACAACAAGACATTATTCTCCATGATCAACAACGTGCTTCACACTGACGCCTTCTACTTTGCTACTAGTTACGACCTTACTCACACTCTGCAGCGACTAGCGAACACCAGCCCAGAGTTTCAGGACCTGAACCTTCTAGAGAGGGTAAGAACCACAAGCCCAAGGTAAACAACCCCTGTTAGAATTTGTTGGTACCTCTTGCAGCTGAGTCGATTTAAACA